TATATATATGTATGTATGTATATGTATGTATATATATATATGTATGTATATGTATGTATATATATATGTATGTATATGTATGCATATATATATGTATGTATATATTGAAGATTTGGTGAGACAATTGCATGTGTTTCCCTACTATAAATACAAAAAAATTAGGTGATACATATGAAAATTATGATCTTTTGATGTGAGATATGTAAATTTAATGGTTTTAAGTGTTTCGCATGTAAATTCCCCAAAACCCCGTTTGTTTTAACCTATCCTTTCTTCCCCTGGTGCTGGCGGCTGTTGCGACGCTCCCGACCTAAACCCTAGCCGAGGAAGCTCGATACGGGTGGAGTTGCGGCCTATGAGGAAGAAGATATATTGAGCGAAGTGTCCGAAACCCTCGACGAGAAAGTATCAAGGAAGTCGCGACGTGGTATCGCAGGCGAAGGCATCGAGCAGGTTCCGTCATCCTTCTTCCCTTTCGTTCGTTTTTTTGTGCTAAATCCTCTAAATTCGCCAAATTATCGGATTAAATCCGGTATTTATGCCGAAACGGTGGTAAAACAGGATTTAACATGTCTTGTAAAACGCTTGGTAAGATCTATGCTAAATTCTGCATAAATACTGCTCAAATCGGGGTATCGAACAGTCTCTTTCATTAGTTCGAGAAATTCTTTTTGAATATTGTGAGCTTTTCTTCTCCTGGAAATTTACTCTTTTAACTTTAGTTGTTTCGTCTTTCTCTTAAGCTAATAGCATGCTGATGATTTTTTTTAGCTCAACGAAATAATTCTAAATTCAGATAATCATGTTGGATGTGGATTCGAAGCCCCTTAATTATGTTCATGAAAACGTGTTGAGGAAAAGGAAGGCTAATGAAGAATGGGCCATAAAGAAGAGGGAACGGATTGATGCAAGAAAGAGACGTCACATAGAGAACAGAAAATTCGCCATTAAACGGCCAGAGCAGTTTGTGAAAGAGTATCGTGACAAGGTAAACATTTTATTTTGAATTTGTCAGATGACATTTGAAAATGCAGTCTCTTTTTGGTTATCTGCACGCTGCTTCCATATTCATAACTTTTAGTGTTTGTAGTTCAATTTTCATGTATATTAAAAAGATTAAAAGAAAAAAGTTTTGACCTTCGATCTTCAAACTTTGCTTCCAGTTTTGTCTACTCCTTCATCTAGATAGAATATCCAGCAATGAGGCCAATTCTGACCAATGAGAGGAAACTTTTTAATTCTATTTTTTATATTATGCTCTTAGATGGTAGGTTGAGAAAAAAGAACACCACTGAATGTTTTCTTGGATAGTTGGTGTTGAAATTCGGAATAATGCGGAATATTGAATACTTCGGAATACTTTCATTGATATGAACGGGGTATAAATAATTCTTACTAGAATCCTGTAATAGGAAAAATAATAATAAAAAAAATGATATGAAATGAAAGATTTATCACATGATATCTCCAATAATTAATTTATATTACTTATTAGGAAATAATAGGAAACAATATAAATTAGGAAAATAAATAATTTATAATATATGAAAATAAAATATCTCCTTATATAGTTATATTAAGAAAAAAATTTATTCCACATAACTATGAATAAATTATTTCCTATTATAAATCTTAGCAGGAAAGAAAATAAATCCTGTAAATTTGATATTTCAACACTCCCCCTCAAGTTGAACATGGTTGAAAACGATATTCAATTTGAATTTGAAAACATCGGCTGCGGTTTGTTGACTGGACATGTAGCATCAATTTGCCAAAAAACTCAACAATTCTCAAATCGGAAGTGCCGAAGCCGAAAGCCCCGAAGCTGAGAATGTCGAAGCCTGAGAGTGCTGAAGCTTGAGTGTGCCGAAGCTGAGAATGCCGAAGCCTGAGAGTGGCGAAGTCTGAGAGTGGTAGAATTCTGAGAGTGGCCTAGACGAGGGCTAAGCTTAATTTCGAGACATTGATGAATTTGTAAGTCACCGGTTGACAGATAATTGCATGAAAGCTGTTAGAAGGCTGCAAGGAGGCTGCAGGAAAGCTTCAGGGAGGTTGTAGGAAAGCTGCAGAGCGCCAACGACAGTGCCCAGGAAAGCTGTAGTGCTCGGAGAAGGTTGCAACAATGCTGCAGAAAAGAACAGTGCTTTCCTTGGGGAGAGCTAGCCAAAATCCGCAGGAAAAATTTGTTGAGGTGATTTGACGACGAGAAAAGCTGCATCAGGGAGGTCCGACGATGGGAAAGGCTGCAGAGGAGAGAACCAGTTGCAGGAGTAAGCCTGAAGGTCCAGTTGGCAGCAGATATATCAACAGGAAGTTCTGGCAGCAGGAAAGGTCGCAAAAGTTAATTTCACCGACAGGAAGGACTACATGAGGGAGTTTCAGTGGCAGGAAAGCCATCAAGGGATAGGTCCCATTGTAGGTAGGTGCTTCGATGGTCCTGGAAGGAAATTAGGAGGTCGGATGGCTGGAAGATCCCGCAGGAAGGATCTGTGACTAAAAAATTGCAGGAAAAACGACCGTGGGAGAGCCCGCAAGGAAGCCAATGCTCTGTGCGATTCTGCGGGGGACAACGATTTCCACCAGAGAGTGAAAACTGGGATTTCAACTAGAGATCTTCCGTGATTTGTACTGGAGAGAGAAAATAAATCACATTGGCGAATTAAAATTTCTACTAGAAAGAGAAAATAATGTCTGTTGTTTGCTAAAAATGCAAGCCTGCAGTTGCTCAAATGCCTGCGTGGGGAAAACTGCTGAAATCGCAATGGTTTAGTGAACCAGACACCTACACAGAGAAAAAATTGAGGCACAACAAAGGCTGCAAAAATTGACTCTGACGACTTGCGGCGTCTGCATAGGGAAAAAGCGAGGTGTAACAGAAGCTACAGGAATTGCCAGATGCAGAGAAGAATGTAGAGAGCTCTCCGGTTCTAATTGCCAGATGCAGAGAGTAATTGCCAGGTCAGGTTAGAAACACAGCTCCCCTTGACACTTAAGGCAGGAAAGGAAAAATATTGTTCATGAATTTTCTCTCCAAAAATGGTGGTATTCCTATTTTGGAGTATTTCCTCTAGTTTTTAATGCTCTAAAAAGTGCTTTTTCAGCACCAAGTGTCTGAAGAGTCGAATAAGGGCACTGGACATTAATCTTTGTGATTAGATACTGATATAACTTTTTTCCATATGCAGACAAATACATAACCCTCTATGCAAATATCTAGACATTAATCAAATCAATTGGAGACAGGTCATGTCCCATGGATACTTTGGCAGCTTCTCCAATGTCCTTCTCCTTCTCCTCATCACCAAAAATATCAGCCAACTGTAGAACATGATCTTTAGATAAATGATTTGTCGCCAACAAACTTCTCAATTTTTTTATTACAGATAATTATCATTGACGATTTTAACGAGTTTTGGAAAATGCAATGAATTCCACTCCCTCATTCTCATTGAGACAGTGTTGATATCTTTATGAAGGGTATCAAGAAGAAAAATTGCGTGAATGACCATATTATCTACCCCGTTGACATTGAACTTGACCTTCGCTCTGCTATAACTATGGCCCAAACCAAGTTGAGCTTTCTCCAGATTGTTTGGCTTTAAATCCTTGATAAACCTATCAAAGTGCAGCCGGACACCACGTAGAAGCTCTAAAACAAAATCGTTGCCCTGGCACAGAATCTTTGTCACCTCCAAGATTTGGGACCCGATCTTCGGCTCGACGACTTCGAGGCTGAAGTTAGACTTCTTCCCTTCCTTACGTTTAGGGAGATTAAGCTCCAAAAAATTCGTCAACTCATCGGTCTTAATTCCTTCGGAAACAGCGTTGCACTGGTTTAGAGCATCTAGTGCAGAGGAAGAAGGGTTGAAGGCTACAAGCTTGACAACCTTGCCGAAGCGACTAAGGTCGAGAACCGAATTGCGTATAGCGTCGACGCAACCCGGGACGACGCGGTAGAATTGGGGTCCGAACAGATCTCCCCGGTGGGGTCGTCGAGTTGATGTCGAATTGAAAGATGGAGTTAGTGCCGCTGGAATCCCACTTTGCTCCACAATCGCCTCTCTCGATCGATGGAAAGTAATCCACCAATAGATTGTTAACTATCTAGTACCAAAGCACGCCTAGAAAGAGTCCGAGGATTGCCCCCGCGAGAACCTGGGCAACGGTGTGCCCAAGTAAGCCCTAGAATAGAGAGTCAATATAGCCGCAGGCCATGGAAACAGGGCAGTTAGAAATCTCGATCGCCAGGAGGAAACACCTTTCCCGGTACCGCTGAGGCATAAAAGGGAGAAATATGTGGAGAAGAAGAACATGTACTGCGAGTGACTAGATGGCCAACCGTGTGAATCACATATCTCAAGGGAGACACATGTCTCGGGGCGCGACTGCTGCACTGATGACTTGATGAGCTTGTTGAGGAACCGAGAGAAGATGAGGCCGAGAGCGAAACAGAGACACTGTAACTCTCATCGGAATAAGAAGTGGGTGACGAAGCCGCCGAGGCTAATGAATACACGAATCAGCGAGACCAATGCGAGTAAATGGCCCAGGGAGTCACCTCGATGGTACCGGTCATGGGTGAGTGGGTGGTTGTCACCGCCTTAAGCAGCTGCGGCGGCGATGGTATGGATTCCATTAACTTCAGTTAGCTGTCATCGTTGAAGAAGGGTCTGGAGAAAAAATAGTTATTCTCTGTCACCGCCTTAAGCAGCTGCGGCGGCGATGGTATGAATTCCATTAACTTCAGTTAGCTGTCATCGTCGAAGAAGGGTCTGGAGAAAAAATAGTTATTCTCTTCTCTTCCTGCACAGAGAATTGCAGGAAGGGAGTCCGACAATTCTCAAAGGAGGGTCGGTGGCTAGAGTACGATACTAGGCTCTGATACCATGTTGAAATCAGAATAATGTGGAATATTGAATACTTCGGAATACTTTCATTGATATAAACGGGGGTATAAATAATCCTTACAAGAATCATATAATAGAAAAAATAATTAAAAAAAAGAAATGATATGAAAGGAAAGATATATCACCTGATATCTCTAATAATTAATTCATATTACTTATTACGAGATAATAAGAAACAATATAAATTTGGAAATTAAATAATTCCTAATATATGAAAATAAAATATCTACTTATATAGTTATATTAAGGAAAAATATTATTCCTCATAACTAGGAATAAATTATTTACTATTATAAATCTTAACAGGAAAGACAATAAATCCTGTAAATTAGATATTTTAACAGTTGGGACTATAAAAAGCCTTTCTCTGCCAATGGTCATACTGATATTGATTAATAGCTATTAGCTAACCTACTTTGAAAGCACTCATATGAGTTATTATTGTGAAAAAAAATTCATTTCTTTGACTTTTCCAATTTGTGATGCTGAGGATTAATTTCCATGCTGCAGTCTAGCAAAATGGATTTTTTAAATTATATTTAACTAATTTATTGTAGGATTTAGATCGGGTTCGAGCAAAACAAAGGCTGAAATTGATGAAATTGCCAGCAACTGCCTTGAAGTCTGATTTACTCTTTGTCCTCCGCACGCAAGGGTTTGCTCTATACATGCCTTATGCATCATTATTATAATCACTAATTTGCTCTTGTCGTAGGTTTGGTTTTATGCTTGAATAAATAACTATATTTCTTTTTGTTGTGTTTGCAGAAAGAACGATATGTGCTCGCAGACAAAAAAAATTTTGAAGAGGTTGAGGTTGAGACATATCCTTAGTGGTGTATTTTTAAGAGCTAATGATGCGGTTCTAAGAATGTTAACTAGTGTTGAACCATTTGTTTCTTATGGGTAATTATAAGAAAATTCTCTTATATTTTCTGCTGGGAGACTTCTTGACGAATTAGTCTTGCTTTACGAGGGCTAAGGACGTATATCTTGTGCATTTTATACAGTTATCCAAATTTGAAAAGTGTGAGAGAGTTGGTTTATAAAAAGGGCTGTGGAATGATAGACAAGCAACCGGTGCCTCTCACAGACAACAATGTGATCGAGCAGGTACATCTCTAGTGTGGTGTTTTTCTTTCTTGTTTTTAGGTATTTATCTTTGATAATTAATTTTAATATTCCAAGTAAAAAAAAATAAAGGAGTATGTTCATAGTCATTGTAATCTCATAAATCCAAACGTATACATATGCTAGTTTTTTGGGAAATATCAAGAGCCATCACTTTTTTGTTGTATCCTGTTGTTAAATATAAATGAGTGAAAGAATAATGAGGAATGGAAGAGAGGAAAGAATTGTGGTAGTGGCTGGATGGTGGATTTTGTGTTGGGCCAAGGATTACTTGGTAATAGTGGTTAATAACCATTGGATCAACTTTGACTTTTGTAAGGATTATGATTATTTTTGGTTTGGGTCAAGCTATCTTTTACTGGAACTAAATGAAAATATGACACTAAGTAGGATGCAATGGAGAAAAAGGATTCATGTAGCTGACCCCACGTAGTTGGATTAAGGCTTTGTTATTGTTGTTGTCGTCGTCATCGTCAAGCTATCTGCTAGTTGGATTAAGGCTTTGTTGTTGTTGTTGTCGTCGTCATCGTCAAGCTATCTGCTTTTTGATGCAGCATGCTTAGATGGATATCGTTTAAATGATATCTCATACTTGGATGGTGTATAGCTTCTATATTGTTTTCATATGTGAGAAGTGGAGGGATAAAGCTCAAAATTGCCAAAGATTTTCATGTTTGGTAAGTACAATGATCTAATGGTCTTTTTTTCTTTGTGGCCCTGGCGAATATTACCGTGCTGGAAGTTTTTTCAAGCAACATCAATTTTGAATATCTATGTACTCTTTTTCCTCTTTCATTCTTATTTCCTGTTATCAGTGATGTATTCCAGTATCATATATTGAATTTTGTTGCTTAAATAGCCAAGCTAGCAAATCTTAATTGAAGCATTTAACATAAAATACTATAAAAATCACTTCTAATGATACCAACTACTGGAGTTATACTTTTTAATTTGTCGTTTTGTGAGCAATTCGTTCTTATTGGGCTGTTAATGGGCCCTTGTTATGTGGAGATGTTTGATGAGATGGGAAGAGGGAGTTGCCATGCTTAAATACATTTTTTTAGGGTAATGGGGAGTACAGTGGGTGAGAAGAGAGAGAAGTAATTGAGAGAATTTTCTGGGACACATAATCACGTACACTGATTTAAGAGGTTCGGCTCTATGGCTCATGTCCCACTGTATGAAGGAGAAGATAAGAATCGGACATGTAAACTCAATCCATTATACTTTTTAATTAGGTTTGCTATATTAAACAAAGTGAGAATGGTTTTTATTTACATAGGTAGTTGATTATTAGAAACATAAGCTCAATGTCATTTTAGAATCAAAGCTACTTATAAGGATTGAGAACTACATGTGATAGGCGAAAATCATGTAAAGGGGCATCTTCATGATTATAGTGATGAGCGAGCATGTGCTTACACCAAAAAGACAAAGGGCTTGTTTCAAGTGAGTTATGAAATGTCACATGTCATTTGGTGGCTGATAGGTCTCTCAGGCTGTAGAGTCATGCATTGTTGCTAGGCGGTGGCATTGAGATGTTATTAAAAACAAACATAATTTTTAGTGGTGAATGTGAAATGTTACTATCATGGGTGTCACACGTCAAGCACATTTGAGGGGCCTCAAGTGGGACAATTGCTGAGATGACAAGATGAGATTGCCAACTTGCCATTGACGCTGGTTCTAAGATTTGAGTGAGTTGGAATCTGAGGAATTGCTTGGGGAGTGCTTATTGCAAAGTTTGTTCCTAGAGGAGACAGCTTACGCCCATAGAACCTCTCAACTTGGTCGAATCATACTAAATTGGTTTGTTAATTATCTTAGATATCTTCCAATTTGATGACGTGGTTTGTCATGTTACAATTCATAAAATGAGATATCATACTTTTTCCCTCATTTCGAGCTCTATAACTTGACATTCAAAATGATGAGCGTGTGTTTATTTTCCACACACTATTAGTTCTTGTCATTAATACTGATTTAACATGTTATAAACTCCTTTGTTGTAGATTCATTAGATTGTGAGATTGAATGGTCTAAGTTGCTTGCAATGTTGGCAGACAAGATGAAGAGGTTTTGGGCATCAATGTTACTTATTAATGCCCCTTGCCGAAAGCAAGTGGGTTTCAATTGTTGAGGATGTATTCTCAAGCAATACAACTATTATTCTTGATCCATCAAGTTATTAGTGACAACATGAGAACAATTGTGGTCAAATTTTGGATCACAATGTCTAAATCTTCTATTGAGAGGTGGGAATAGTTCTTCAACACTGCAAGTCGGTTCACCTCTTTTGATGAAAGGTGATGTATTTGTTTAGGCTTCCAACATAGTATGAAATTTTGGGAGGCCTTACATTTGCATTGGAAGGTGCATTAGGTTGAATATTGGCATGCAGGCTCATTGATGCCAATATCAGTGCCAACGATGAGCTCTTAAGCGATTGATATGGACATGGTGGAAGCAATAGAGCAATTATAGGGAGGAGGTTGGTGTCAAATAGAACAAATCCAGTTTCAGATGATACAGTGAAGGAAGTTAACTTGGTGCCTCCTACATGGGAAGGACTCATTAATTAGAATAGTTGTTCAGTAGGGGTTTCTATGGGCACAATTAGGATGGGGGGTAATGTGAATAGTCATACAATTGAGGACATTTTGTGCTTTATTCAATAAGAACAAGTGGAAATTGGGCGATTGCTATCTCAAACAAGTAAAACCAATTGATTGATTTTTACGTAGATCTCAAACGAAGTTTGGAGTGAATCACCTATATTTATCAATCAGTGTAATTGAGGTGAAGATCCATTTTTCCATTTTGTGAAATTTTCATAGCTTTCATTGCTCCTTTGTTGGAGGGGGCTGAAGATAACCGCAACATCTTCAGGAGGAGGTAGCCACTAATTGGGGCTTATTATGGGGCGAAGTGATAACGAGCAACTAGAGGACACGGGAGAATACTCACCTAGTTTAATGGCTTGGTTCACTGTGTTGAGTTAATAAAGAAGCACCTTTGGCTTCCTAATTTTGACGATCCAAACATTTGTAGACAAGTGAAATAATGATGGTATAAAATCTTTTTGTGTCAATTGAATTAGGCTTGCTAATAGATTAGACATAGATGAATAAAATTTTTTGTAATGCTATGTGCTTGTTTAGAAGATGCTCGATATTAGCCGAGCTATTCAATGTAGTTGTCATAATAGCACTGAAGTCCAATACACATGGCACAACAAGAGAGGCAAGGAAGAATACTCACCTAGTTTAATGGCTTGGTTCGTCATGTTGATTTAATAGAGAAGTGCCTTTGGCTTGCTAATCTTGAGGATCCAAGCATTTCATAGACAATTGGAAGAATGATGGTGTCTGAAATCTTTTGGTGTTAGTTGAATTAGGCTTACTAAAAGATCACACATAGATGAATCAACTTTTTTCTAATGTTTTATGTTTATTTGTAAGATGTTCGATATTGGCTTAGTGAGTCAATGTATTTGTCCTAATTGCACTGAAGTCCAATACACACGGCAGGACAAGTATTGTGGGGGAATTAGTTGGGTAGCAAGGATGTCTTGTTCGATTAGGCCAAGTTTACTTGATGCTAGATATAATATATTACTCATGGGATAACTGCTAGTGCATGAGAAATCACAAAGGGCCTTGTTTACTCTTCTATACTAAATTTTGTTATGAAATAAAGTTGTTGGCTCTTTTCATTCATGCACTTAGCCCTCTTTTTTATAAAAATATTGTGAAGATGGGATAAAGAGGGTGTGAGAGTAGTCCTGGATCGAATCAACTTGTGGTGTAGCTCTCACCTCTCAATTTTATAAAACTCTCATGAGGATGAGATAAAGAGGATGCGACTATAGTCATAGATTGGATCAACTTGTGATGAAGCGAGTCATAGATGGATATTATTCTCAAAGCGCAGCTTCTTAGAAGGCTTCATAGTCTTGCTGTCGGGTAAAAAAAACTACGCATTGACACATTAATGCTTTTTGAGGTTTAAAGTATCTTGCCGATTTGAAAAAAAAGTGGTTAGACAATCTCATCATATTAATGCAAAATACGACACAAAAAGTGAAACAATGTGGGCTTGATGTGTAGCGATTGTGATTGTGATGATTGTCATATGTGGTAAGCCGGAATGATGGGTGTTCAACATCAATTCATCTTATCGAGATTGTGACATCCTAACACAATTATAAAAATGATATTTAATTTTTATTTTATCTATTCATTCTTTAAAGATTTTTCAAACCTTTCTTTTTTTTTTCTTTTTCCTTACTTTTAATCTTTGTCATTAATTATAAAAAGGATGCATGATTTTCATTTATCTGTACATTCTTTAAAAATCCTTCACCCTTTCTTGCTTTTCTGCACTTTAGTTTTGTCCTTTAGTCTAATGCTGTTACTTTCATTTAGGAAAAATGTTAGGTGGTCCAAATATATGTCTGGAGGTGAGCGAATGAAGCCTGTGAAAGCTTTCATTGATAATTGTGTGTGCAAGCACACATCTGTGTGTGCGTGTGTCAAAACTGAACTTACCTGATACTTCTTTGTTGCTTTACCTGCACGGGAGGTGGAAATTTGGCAAATGGTAATTAGCTCGTTGAAGTTGTAACTTGAGGTTACTTGATTGTTGTTTGACATCAAGTTGTGAATGTGATGACGAATAAGAAAGGATTCTTGGTTTCGAAGGGCCTGTGACACCCCAGGCTGGAACCAGAGGTACTAATGCTGAGGCTTATAAGATGAAGTGTGCACCCATGTTACCTCTCATGCTAGTGAAGAAACAGATTAAGCTATTCATTGAGCTGACTAATGAACAAAGCTATGCTCAAATGAAACTTAAATTTAGCCTAGATTGAATTGAACAGGGCCAGCTCAAGATGAAATGAAGCTGAAATCAAAGTTAACAACTCGAACCTGGCTCAGTTGGAGATTAGATTGAGCTAGCTCATAAACAAAGTTGGTTTGTCTGAAAATTAAATTTAATGACTTTGAGCTGATCTTGAGCCAAGGTTGGATCTAATTGAGCTTGAATTATTACAATTTTTTATAATGTTTTAAAAAATGAATAAAAAATATATATATTATTTTTTAAATGTTCTTTAATATCTGAACTTTCATATTCTGTAGAGTTCTGTGTTTTCTTTCTATGTCGTGTTCTTGGGATAGAGAGTGAGTGAAAGGCTTACTTAGGAGCGGATAATTCTAAGGCTACACAGGTGTGAGTGTATTAGATTTTTATGAGCCTATGATAATTGAAGCAAAGTCCAAGATACAAAATTGAGAGAGCTTGAGGGATTGCGCTAGCATCATTGTACCCCCATGGGAAAGGTGGAAGTGGACGTGGTGATAAGGTTAACAATACATTCATATGCATCGAGGGCAAAAAATTCAAGTTAAAGGAGCAATGTTAGGAAATGTATTCATTCGAGATGCTAAAGTTTGTGGGCTCATAAAATGCAATGAGGCCATGTGTTAAGAGATGAAAAATATACAAGTGATGCTGTAATAAATGAAGGCTACACAAGTGAGTGGGGTGACATTGTGCAACCTGATCTATGAATGAACTTTCTATGCCGAAGGAGTTCATAGGAATTTGGTCAATCAAAGTTGTAGACAACCTCGTTCAGAGCATGTAGCATTACTTTAAAGCGATGTGAATCGTGGATGGTGCATTTTAGGTAAGCAGCACATCCATGTGTCTTATGCATGTTGTCTTTGAGATGGTAATATGAATTTTTTTATCAATTATATCCCACATAACCATGTGAGGGCTACACTTCACCACTTGGATTGCATGGACAATGTAGAAGAATATGTGTAGGAGTTCTTAGAGTTGTTACTTCAGATTTCATCCCCGAACAAGAATAAAGCTTTTTTTCCCATTCATGAACGGTTTCAGACCATTGGGAAGGTTTGAGCTGTAGTGAAAGGGCATGCTAAAGTTATCAAAGGCCATATTGATGGCCTGAACTTCAATTGAATTCAAGTTAAGGGATATATTTTAAGCTAAAAAAGGGCAAAAATGTGGGAGAGCGTGACTAGTTGAACTTTTGAATTTTGAGGGAGCCATTCCCAAGGGACAAGGGGAAGACATGCCTGTATAAAAGAGATGGCAAGAGAATTCTCAACCATTATGCACAAGCATAAGACGTAAGAGTTCCTCGTTCAGGAAAATCTTGTAGCTCATCAAGTATGATGAGGATAAGCTGGACGAGCAAAAGGACATGTGATTTTCCTTATTACAGACCTTTAGCTTGTTGATGAAGGTTGAGAGAGGGCCCTTGGCAGGAAAGTCTAAATGGAGGGCCACTTGTAGGACATACGTGCATAGGAGGTTGATGATGCACAAGAAAATGGGAGTTAGTTTCCACATCCACATACCTAACTATTTTTTCCACTTGGAGCACATGATTATGTCAAGGCTACACTTCACCTCTTGGAGCACATGGACGATGACAAAGAATACATGGAGTTCTTAGAGGAGTTACTTCAGATTTCATCCCCGAACAATAGGAAGATAAAATATATAATAAATTGTATTAAGATTCTTTTGTCGTGACTTATTGTCTCTCTCTCTTTCTCTTTCAGAATTTTCCCTTGCTGTTCTTCAATCATACTCAATTTTTTTTTTGCTTTTGAGAGTCAATTTTGTTTTTTAAATATGGATTGCTGAAATCAGCAATCCAAAAACTATTTTTTCTATTTTTGGAGACCCAGCAATCGCTAGGGATTTGTGTTGGGTTATTGTAAGGCTTCCTAGAAGAGGTGGCCACAATAGAGAAAGGTGCAGGTATTGGAGAGAGGGGTATCATCTCAACAAACAGAAATTATCATTGCTCCAAAAATTTTTAGTCGAATGCATAGAGGGTTATAAAGGTGTTCTTTTAAGGAACTTCTAAAATGGCTAATTTTTTTGGTATTTGTAGAGTTTCTTTCTCTCTCATTGGTTATTCTTTGTGTTGAGAGTGGTACTAAGGTGTTGGGTAGGGATGTTAAGTTTCTTTATTTTATGCACCATTTGTGGCTTCAATTTAGTTGATCAGATACATTCTTTCATGTGAACTAGACTTTTGTTGAACTAGTTAAATCCCCCTGTTCTTGTTTGTGCTTGATATCCTTCGTGCTTTTTGGTGGTTCATCATGCTTGCTCATTCGGTTAAAAGTTAGACAATTTTTTGAACAATTATGGTCCACCATTTTTTGGTGGAAAAATTAGTTAGGTATGTGGAAGTAGTGAGTTTAATCCTTCATCTAATAGTTGAAAAATGTTTTGGGTGCGCATTGGCTTTAATGTTTCACTTTAAAATGTTTGTTCTGCCTAACTTCAATTTTTCTACGGTTCACGCTTCGTAAAGATCGATATTAGGATGACGATTTAGCCAAGGATCTAGCGTTTCTTGTGTTTGGTGACTCCAATGTGTCTTTCTCCCTTCAAAAATGGTTAAGAGCTAGATTCATGCCAATAGCTTCCGTAACAACTCCAGGTGATTTGGCTTATTTTTCATGTATGTATTTTTTTCAATTCGAGTTCGAGCATTAGCCTAACTTTACAACGCACATACTTTTTTAAATACATAAAATATTTTTGCACATCTGCTTTGATTTATATGCATTTATACATATACATATAAATTTCGATCCGATATTCATATAGCTTAAATTTTATTTGGATTCGAGCCAGTCGGATTTTGTTATTTATATTTCTAATTATAAGAATGTCATCTTTTATTTCATTTGGTTATTGAGCTTTGTATATGTGATATGAATCAGTTTATTCCTGTAATTATAGGCGCTGGGGAAGCATGGCATCATCTGCATTGAAGATCTTGTGCATGAGATCTGTACACTTGGTCCACATTTCAGGACAGTGACGAGCTTTCTACGGCCATTTCAACTTAAAAGGCCAGAGAGATTTCCTAAGATGTCTAAGAGGCCTTACAAAAATGGAGGTGATGCAGGCAACCGTGAAGAACGCATCAATGAATTTATTGATCTCTTAAACTGAATGAGGTAAACACTATTCTGTTAATTTGTTTTTTTCCCTGAAAACTTGATTATATGAATTGTATTTTCATCCTTATCTAGTTATTTTTCATGCTAAAAATCTTATAAGCATCTTTGCCTGTATCCTTTATGATTTTCTTTTTTTTGTTAGTTATTGTCTGTTAAGTTATCTGGGGAAATGACAATTGTAGACCAAATAATTTTTAAAATATATTTTTGTTTCTTATAATTGAACTTATTATTCGTATAATATGTTGTGTGGAGGGCACAAAACTGTACATTTAATCAATATATAGTTATTAGAATTATCATTCCAGATTGTATGAATTACTGCGTTGCTTCTTTCAGATTCTCAACATAATGATGTGTCATTAAAATTAAGTATTAGGTGATCCGTCTTTAAATTTACAAATAGATTTAGGGTTTAGTGTTAAAATTTAGTATTAGATGATCCTGGGGGTGTAATCGAACCGAACACGAACGAACAGAGCTCATTTTTTGTTCGTTTCTAAACAAACGAGTCGAACACGAGCTGTTCGCGAACGACGAGCCAGTTTAACATCCCTAATATTAATATATATAAATAATATATTATATTAATTATATAATTTATATTATATAAATATATAATATTTATATTAGTATATTACTAATATTTATTAATATATTATTATTAATAATTTATTATATATTATAATTTATAAAATTTAATTTTTTTAAATATCATAATTTTTTTATATAATTATTTTAAATTATTTTATATTTTGAACAATAACGATTCAAACACGAACGAACGCATCACTGTTCGTGTTTTGTTCGTTCAACTAACCGAACGAAAAAAAATTGTTCGCGTCTCATTTTCATTACTTATCAAACGAATCGAACACGAACTCATTGACGAACCAAACACGAACTGTTCGCGAACAACGAGCTTTTTTGACAGCCCTAGGTGATCCGTTTTTAAATTTAGAAAAAGATTTAACAATAACAAGCATTTCTAATTCGATAGTAAAATATTTTATTTGAGTTAAATCATATCAACTCGAAGTGAGTTTAACTAGTTCTTGTTCACAAGGGGTTAATTTTTGTTTGAAGATTTCTCTATAATCAAGATTTGATGCATATGTTTCCATAATTTTATAACTGGACGAATATGCCAAATCAATACAAAGTAAATTTTTTTTTCTCTTTTTTTTTTTTATCAATACAAAGTAAATTTTTTTTTCTCTTTTTTTTTTTTAAATTTTTCTGACTCTTTCAGCATGAATGCTAGACCACATATGAAGATTTTTTTTGTCCAAGTCTATCAAAAAAAAGGTGTGGCATGTAAAGCAATTTTTTTATAAAATTCAGCAACTTTATTCAAAGCTTTTAGAAATCTTTGAAGTTGTTTTTATCAGTTATTATATCTAAAAGTTTATCAGCAAATTTCATATTATGGTTAATAGAAACTACAAAAGAGTTTGAAGTATTATAATCTAAAAAAACAATTTGTGTTTGAAAGTTTAATTTTTGGTGCTGAAATAACTAATTTATTTTTCTTCGCAAGTCATTTAAAAATATTAATATGTTTAATACGTTCTTCAATAATTTAGGAGAAGATGAGAGAAGATCAAAATATCATTGATATAAATAATGATGTAAATAGAATAAAAATTAAAAATTTTGTTCATTTTATTATGGAAATCAAATGATTTTTTTTTTTTTTTTTTACTTCAAAAGAAATAACATTTCATTCATAATGACTAAATGGAGCAATAAAAGTTGTTTTGTATTTATCTTTTCTTTGCATTTGCTAATATATTGATTTAAAATCAAACTTAGAGAAGAGAATAACATTATGTAATCGAGTTAATAGATCTTTTTTATTAGAGATTGGATACATTATATGGTTTATAATTAATTTTTAATCTACGTTTATCTTGATCTTTCTTAGCAGCATTTTATACACAGAAAGCTGTGCAATTCCATGGATGATAAGATTTTCTAATTATCTTTTTTTATTAAAACTCATTTATTTTATTTTTACATGAATCAAGATGATACTGATTGATTTGATATGGTCTAGTTTTTATGAGAATATTTCTTCCATTGAATCCATCTTCTTGTGCCAATTCTACACAAATAAGTTTTTTTTTTCCCTAAAGGTTATTGAATTTTCTCCACAGATTTCATTTTGTAAATTGTGATAACTTTTATTTATTTGTGATTGAGTTTTACCATCCTAAATTTGTTTTTCTTTTCTATAAGGCTATATGATTATCTCCATTGATTTTATCTGTAATTTGTGATAGATTTTATTTATTTATTCTTGAATTTTACTATCCTAAAGTTGTTCTTGAATTCTTTTAATATTAATTTCTTTTTGCCTAATGATTTCTTTAGGATTGGTAATAAAATAATGCTTTACAGGACTAGGTCATCTAAGAGTAAATCTCCATGAATCAGTTTTAGATTGACATTATTTGATTTAGAATCCAAGTTTTTAATATTATATGCTTAGAAAGAGTTTTAATTACTAAGACATGAGCATAAACACATTATTCATCTAAATTCACATCAAATAATGCCTAAAACTCATTTATATTAGTTTATTTTAAAGATGTTTAGCTAATAATTCTTTTATTTTGAAGGATCTTATACAGATCTTCACAAAATCAATCAGCAGTTGTTTTATCTTCTCAAGTAAAAGATAATCCAATTGATCTTAAAACTTATTCTGAAATCTTAGAATCTGAATCTTGTAATAAACATATCTTAAATATCATCACTGGTGATGGCTACCATCTTACTTCTCATAGGACAATCTTAGAATTATATTTAGGTAGTAGTATGTTTCCTCAAGAATATTTTTACGATCGAAATATATTCACAAGCTATACTTCTTTCTTTAAAATGCATAGAAATTAAACATTGTTATAATGCTAAACATAAATCTATTGTTTATAGTAAAGTTACTATTTATGGTTATCTTAATTATAAGAATGGAGATTTACTGCATGCCAGATGAAAGTCTTTGAGTATCTAAACCTCAAAATCTCACCATAAAAGAGCTCTATCTTTCAGTTATTGGACTTATATCAAAGCAATGCATATAATTTTTTTAGCCATTAATCTAGGAAAAAAAGAAGAAACATATATAGATTCTTGTCATTATGCTTGAGATCCCATCTAATTGTATATTGTATTGGTTTTATTTGTGGTTGGATAATTGTGGTGCCATAATTCAGATCCTTTAAAATCTAACTATTTTGATCAATACATCTTTAAATTTTCTACTGCATCATTGATACATGGTCAATCAGACTGGTCTTGTAATCTTCAAATTATTTATTAAATCATAAATGTTTATTTAGAAATTATGCAATCAAGTGGTAAATTGTAATTCTCACTGAAGAAAAAAATTCTCTCTTTAATAAAGTCATCTGTGTAATTAAATCCATCCCGTCAAAAAATCATTCCGAAGAAGAAATGACTTTTAAATCTTTGGCTTGAAGAAAAGTTTCTAATGAATTAGCTGAAAAAATGAATGAGCTATTGTGAAAACAAATTAAGAAGGAGAAATATTTGCGTACGTAAGACGTACGCAGCGTTGCGTACGTCTGATAGGTTATAAGGAGGATATTGAGGGTTATATCCGCGTTATATCCCTTGTAACATCTCTGTAACCTAAATATAACCTACTTGAATTTAGAAAAAAATATGAAAATAATGATAGGTTATAAGGAGGATATTGAGGGTTATATCCACATTATATCCCTTGTAATATCTCTGTAACATAAATGTAACCAACCTGAACTTAGAAAAAATATGAAAATAAAAACGCTAAATTTATTAGTTACGCGTAGGTTACAGAGATGTTACATGGGGTATAACGCAGATATAACCTACAGTACACTCTCTATAACCTATCAGACGTATGCAGATTTATGTATGTCTTATGTACGCAAATATTTCTCCTGAAGAAGATATGATGAATCAAGATGACATAACATCTATGGCTATGTACGGAAGAAGGGGGATTTTAATCATCCAAAAAAAAAAAAAATTAGTAATCATGTAGAAAAATTCAGAAATCGACCCCCAGCACTAATTTAAAGTACCAGTCTATGATTACTTTATTTTAATCTATTTTTATATTTTGAAATCTGTCGGCTGTATTGCGTAAACAAGTTGTATGTGTTTGTTGTCGGCATGCAAAAAAATGTATTAGTCGCTAGGAAGCATCCTTCTGGTCAAGTTAAGAGTGCATGTCTTTTATTTTAGAGTAAAGCCTGTTTTCTAGCTATTACTCTTTTTAAAATCTTAAAATTCTAGTTTTCTTCTATTTATATTCACGAGCCCTTAACTGATTCATTAACTCTTGAGCCGGCTTGTTTAAAAATTAATTAATATAAAATATTCTAAAAAAATTATTAAAATTCAAAATACTGTATTTAAATTGTTAAAAAATTCATATTGTATTATTTATATCATTTGATTTATTATTTTTATTTTCTTTTTTTTTATAATAAATAAGCAGGCTTGACTTTGATTAATTAAGCAAATTTAAGCTCAAGTTGAGGGTGGCTCGAATTTGATGTTACTCTTAGAATATATATATATATATATATATATATGCTCTTTCTTTTATTTTTTAAATAAGGTTCATAAGATATAATTGTACCCAACAAAAAGTATCATTCATAGTTTTCAACTGATATTTTTACTCATTTTAAAATAAAAAAAAAATAGTAAAGTACGGTTGGTATATTTTCTTTATAGATCATTGTAGCCGTTGGTGTTCTTGGTTATGTACTTGTTCTTTTTGCCGGCGATTAGATGCGCACTAGGCCTAAACGCTCTTAAAATAGATGCAATAATCGATAATTTTCGATTAAAATAATTTAAAAATTAGTAAATGAATCATGCAGGGTAGTTGTAGCATTGACAATGATTTATAATGATGATGGGGAGTATCCATAAGTTATCTGTTATTCGTTAATTTTATGAGAATTGATTGAATTCGACACTTGATTTTTAAATAACATATCGATGTAGTTGTATTATCATATGCTTAAAGGGAGGTGAATGTCTTATCTTTTTCTAGCATTAAATTAGTGACTGTAATTGTTTATCATTGTTATTTTTATCGATTTTCAAGATAATTCGATCGGCCAATAAATTTATAAATTTATTTATATTAACTATAAAAAATAAATTAAATCAAATCATCTTCATCATATTTTAATTATGAGATACTTAATGATCATTAAATTTAGTATGAGATAAAGAATAATAAAATTTTAAATTTATCAATCACATATAACATTAAATCTCAAAGTAAATTTAATGACTATAAAACTTAATACGATCAAAGTTTAATCAAAATATATTGATTAGATTTACTATTATTAATATTTACATGAAAGCCAACAACTCGCCCCTTAAAAGGGGGAAAAATTTGCATACATAAGACCCCAACAACTCGCCCCTTAAAAGGGGGAAAAATTTGCCTACATAAGATCTACGCAGAGCTGCGTTCGTCTGTAACCTGCAAATAGGTTACAAGGAGAATTTTAGGAGGTTATAATAGGTAGGTTACAAGGGGTATAACGCGGTTATAACCTCCCAAAATCCTCCCTGTAACATGTTTGCAGGTTACAGACGTACGCAACTCTGCGTACATCTTATGTACACAATTTTTTTCCCTTAAAAGGTGGGTATTGAGACGACAGACGAGTATAGGATTAAATGCAATCAATTTATTGGGAGATTAGAGGACCCTATTTTTGTAGATTAGCCAATCTCTAAATCAATGGCGGAGCAGCTCTTCATCTTCATCAGAGGATATATGCTGTGGCGGGCGGCAGCAGAAACCTTCAAAGAAGGCACCGATGAATAGAGCAAACCCTAAAGAAATGAATTCATTAATTCATTAAAAAAAATGATAAAAGGGAGTTTTTTTTTTTTCTTTTCAGCGTATATGACCTAAAACAATTCATATTTTTAGCATACAAAACCGATTCTTTTAATTTTACCAATATATCACTGTTCTATTTAAAATTTTATGACTTCCCTACAAAGATTTAGCAAACACACAGTGAATAATACAATAAACACATAGATTTACGTGAAAAACCTTATAAAAGAAAAAAAAAATTATAGCGTTTGACCAAATCAAAATAATCGATGATGCAAATTAAGTTGCATAATATTACTCTTCTTTGAACTGAAAAAAGGCAGGGTTACAAAATTTTGATGAAGCTTAAAACAATAATTTTTTAGCTATGCAACTCTAATTTTTTAACTATTGTTTTAAATAAATTGCTATAAAGAGGGTGTCAACAGAATCGAGTGACTAAACTGAGGCGGAGCGCCTTCAATCTACTCTATGAATCCTTAGGCTACTAGTTTTTGTATTTTATTTAAAAGATTTTCCTTTTTTCTCTTTTCATTCAAGATTAAGAAATCTCCATTTTTCCGCTCTTTTAAAACTCAGCTTAGGCTCATCCGACCCTTAAACCCTAGCCTCCCACAATCTTAAGATGCCTCAAACAACTCCACCTCTCCCCTATGTATTCTCTCACAACCCACTCAATTCCCTAAGATCTTAAATTCTTATTATTCTCAAGATATCCAATGCAATATTCAAGACAAGGGGACAAGAAGAGAAAGTTAGATGGCAAGAGTAAATTCCACTGCAAGTTGATTGCCAGGATTTCACATACTCACATGAAAGGAATGTTAACATCCTCATAAGAATTGATTGTATTTCGGAGCACCAATGTCCCCTTTTCCTTCAAGAAACGCCATATGAAGATAGCTGTCGTCTCTGCAAGATAAGAGAACGCTACTCAAAAACACTCCATCAGTAAAATTCAAGGATTAATGATTGAAATTTGAACATCTAAGCAATTACTTGAAAGTTTTATTTAGCAGAAAATTATACTTGACAAGTATCTAACAACCTCCAAAAATTTGCAAAAGAACTTGAAATAAAATAACACTTCAATTGAGAAATATGGAGAACAAAAATATTTCACTGAGTTGCATAACTTCTAATAATTCTGTATTTGAAAAATGTTAGATTTATCAATATTCCTGCTTTAGATGGATAATAATTATATGCAAATCAATGAGAAGAACAAAAATACTTTTAGAAACCTTGATATATATAATCTAGCCATGATAAAAGAGATAAATACATAAAGGTTGGGCTTTGTAATGGCCAGATTTCAATGAAAATATTAAAACAAATTTTCAACATCTTCAGTCACTACTAGTATGGAAAGACTTACTTGGTCCTCAAAATCAGGGCTTGATAGATTGATGGAGAGATTTCTCATCAGCACTAATACCTAGTCAGTGAGTAAAAAATCATAAATGATTTGAAGCATAAGTGATTTGAACAATCTATATTCAAACATTTCATCATGGATAGTAACAGATCATAGAAAAACAAAAGATATTCATCTAAGAAAAATAAATGTATCCATAGCAAACCAAATTTGTATGGTCAAAGAAGTTCATAAACCCACTAAATCACATAATGGAGTCAAAATTGGAATAGACATAATTGTAGGGAATCAATTCACAACTCTTTTAAGTATTCTGATTTGAAGGTTTTAGAATGTAGAATATAAAATTCCCCACTTTAAGCATTATAGATAATTAGGCATTATGTAGCATTTTCTGAAATTTTCCATCAGCTATACCTTAAACTTTGATAGGCTTCCAACATAAGATCTACCGAGTCAAGAAATCAATTTATATGTTCTATAATTCACTATTGATATGAAAAACTAGTTTCGGAAAAAAGGGTACAAAGCAACATATTTCTTTACATATCTAACTATCAAAAATCTTTCTAAATCAACAAAAAAATATGCATTCTTAGCGATAAAAGAAATAAGATACAAATTAAATATCCAGTACTTAGTTCTTCATATTTAGCAAATTTAATAGCTAAGTATTTTTATTTTCAGCAAGATAAGATGTCTAAAGAAAACACAAGTTTGGAAGGGCATACTGTTTCAACATCAACGGGATTCATTTCCTTCAGCTTCGGCAGGTTGCCACTCATGCATGGATCAATAAGACAACCAATAAAGCTGTACACTTGACCAAAGTCTGGCATAGCTGTATAAAACATGAAAATATTAGGATAGTTCATAGAATTATAGAAAGTGCAAACTACAATCACATTTTAAGGTATAACATAAAAGAATTAGGTCGGATAGTTTGAAGGCAATCCATATATTATCTCAAAAAGATTTATAATTACATTTAATTTTTTTCACAAAAAAACTGTTCATAAAAAGAAACATAGGAAACAAGACACCAGGCATAATGACTTCTTAAAGGTATGCAGACCGGTATAAGCGGGGACATTCAGGCAGTCAGACGTATTAAATTTTTATAATAGCAAAAAAAAGACTAAAAGGCCAAAATGATTCCAAGATTTAAGAGGCGTGTGCATTTTAATCTCAGAATTTTTAGTTGTTCAATTTAGCACCTAAATACATCACAAAAATCCTGATTGATGGGTACTAAAAAGTCTTAATTAAAAGCTGTTATGAAATCCAAAACGGAGGCTACTATAAAAGCCTAAAAATGGAGGCTAAAAAAGTCTCAAATGATGGTTGATAATTAATCTTAGGAGGTGAATACTTCACTATATAAAATGATATAATCCTCACTTATATAGCATCCAAACGAAGAAGCAATAAAGAGAAACTTGTTAGAGTGAGAGAGATAGGAGAGGTGTCATCTATAACAACAACAACAAAAAAAAAGCGAAAAAAAATTCATCACTTGCAAGTGGCATTTTTACTCTTCTTCATGAAAGAAATAGTCCAGCACTTATCTTTGCAGTAAGTGATTTCATTTCCTCTCAGCTAGATGAAACAGTATCTTTATCAATATCTCTAATTTTGTATGTAGTTTAATGCTTCATATATTTCTTTCGAAACTTAATAAATTATTTGATCTGCATGCATCTGAATATAGGCTCACTCAAGTCAAAACACAGAAATTTTGGTGTTCTTTTCATGAATTTTGATCTCCTTTTTATAGTTACTTTGTGGTTTATCATATTTGCTCTTAAGCTGACGGAACTCTTTTTTCTAACAAAAATGTCAAAAATAAAGTATATTACTATGAAGGGATGAGACATGATTCCTATGATCAGCTGCTTCACAGTTTTTGTATATACTTCGACTGCTTTCAGAGTTGCTGCCATGATTCATTATAGCTTGTGAAGGCCCGACATAGTCTGCAAAGTTAATATGATTAGCACATATGCTGAATAAGCCACTATGCCACTCAATTAACTAGGAAATGAAAACTAAAACAATATGTGAAAGGAAGGAAATGTCTGTAGTGATATGGTGATAGAAGATTAAACCTTTTCTCGTTTGGGATACATTAACTGGCTGACTAGAACTGTAATCCCAGGAAATAAGTGTTCCACTTGAAGCAGAATTTCTAAGAGGGATTGCAGAATCTGATCTGAGAGCAGACCCCTGTTCGAGCAGACACGAAGAACTTTGAATTGAATTTGTAGGTTGAGACACATTTTGAGCTGCAAAATATTGCAAATAAATCATGCTTTTACTCCTATAACCTCGTAAAAATTAATGACTGTAATAGTTCCAACCATTTTTAGTAGCTTTATGAGGATATGGATGAGAAGCTTTGCGCTTGGGTCGAGGAGGAGGAACATGATCTGTTGTTCCATTCTTTTGAACTTTCTGAAAGTATTTCTGTGCATGGCTCCTAATCTGGAAGAATTTTTTTTCAAGATTTTAACATATGAAGGTAATCATATCAAGAAAACGCAATGTATGTTTCATAATTAGAAGGGGAACAATATTCGTGGAAGTTAATTTTTTCTTCAGTTACATATGAAACTATGATGACAAAAGGTGAGAGTATAGTAATATATAAAGAAATTATATCTTGCTAGTAATATTAAAGGATTAGGAAGGAAAAATACATATCTAAAAATATATGGATAGAAGTTCAAAATGATAGTGTGAGAGTGTGTAAGCATGCGTACATGTTTTCAAATAGATGTAATTAAAATAAACAATAAGTAGTATTTTTAAAAGAACAAACAGGACAATTATATTGGGACTTACATCTATGGGTTTCAATACATATTCAAAAGTTGGGTTTGAGTTTGATCTAAAAATGATTTAACATGAATATAATTAACTTGAACTCGAAGCATTTACTGAATGGGTAAAAATTTTCAAATTGAGCGTGATCCAACCAAGCATAAATTCAACCCAAAGCGATATGAAAAATAATTTATTGGTGGTGGATTAGTGTCAACTTGATCCAAAAGAGACGTGATTATTATATTTTGACACGATAACTCATTAAACATTGTAAAAAATGTATGTTAATATAAACTTTCTATTAAAAAAAGAAACAAATAATAAAAAATATTATTTTTGGCCGAATTGAAACCAACTCTTTTTGGTGTCACTTTAACTGACCCAAACCCGACTTGCATGTTAGAAAAGCTAACCTAAACTAGGATTTTCTGTGTAGGGTTCGAGTTGAGGTTTTTTGTCAAGTTCAATACCAACAACCCTACTTACATCAATGAAGCAAGGCACTAAAAAATATATTGATAATTATGCCTCCATAAAAAAAGAAAGTACATAGTGCGACTAGTTTAAAAGTTGAAAGAAACATTTGCAATGCTATCAAGTAGACAAACACAATACAAAAGTGAATAAAAGTAAGCCTTCAACACTTGGGCATTAAAACAACTATCAATTCCATTCACTTATGTAGCATGAAAAATCATATTAGAAAAGAGAACAAGAAATTGGCATAGGGGTTGACACTTTAATATTGAATTAAGCCCATAAATTTACCATCATGTGTAGCAAAACCCTCATTCCACAAAACAAAAATCAATTATGCAAACTACATTAACTATTCCAACTACCATGAATGGTCAATATGCGCTTTTGAAAACTGTATGTTGAAGCTACAATAATGCTTTCCTTCAAAGCTTTTGAACATACCTGGATTACTGTCTTTGAGCCAACAAATGATTCTATCTTTTTCCAATCACGATCATAACTGCAAGAAACAGAACGTGAGATGGCTAAAAAAAAGAAGGTCAAGTATGAATTAGGAAAGAAAAGGAAGAAAAATCTGCAAATTCTTTTTATACTTTTTACTGGTTCTCCTTACAAACAGGCTTCATAGCTTTTGTCGAGCACCAAGGTCTATACAGATTTATTATATTATAAGCAAGGTTTAAAATGAAGATCCTGGCAACAACTTTCGCAACTCTTATCAAGTAGACTAATAGGTGCCCAGTTAACAAATTTTATAGCATGATACTATAAACAAATCAAAAAGCCAAAATCCCTAGCTAATAAACTAAAGATGGCACAAAATACATTCGATATGCCTAGCAGAAATTAGATCAGGATCTAGTGATCTAAAAGTTCAAGATCCATAACCAAATCATGGGATAAAAAAAGAACTAAGAAAGAAAACCACAATTTACATCACATGCTAGCCATTAAACACACCCAGATCCTATCATGGTTATAGACCTCGCAATAGAGGATAAATCTAAGAAAAAGTTTAGGTTTAGGATATTCTAACCTAAAATTTTTTAATCATTGAATTAGCTTTGAAATGAATGAAATCCAAGTTTTTATTGAATAGCCATATATAGAGTTCATCTCAAAGCAAATCCAATAGTCGTAAAACCTAAACAAAATCGAGTTAGGAAATCCAAACCCTAATTTTCTTCTGAGACTTATTGAGCCAAGAAAGCAACCGGAAAATTTCAATTGCCTGACATAAGAGGATTTGGACAACAATAATGAATCTAACCGGCCGAATAAAAAAAAAAATATCACACGAGCGACCTAACTTACTAAAAATAGACTTTCAGGAGCACGTTGTCACCTCCCAAAAGAGCCCTTATGGGTGGTGGGCAGCCCAGGACTTAAATACTGCTTTTTGGCCTTACACCTAGCCGATGTGGGACTATTTGTCCGTGACATTCTCCTCCACCCAATCACGTGACGCCCTCGTCATGGATCGGCTCCACCGAGGTCCCACTGGACCATGGAGAGTCCATACACCTGACAGATAGTAAACTGCTCTGATACCACTTGTCACCTCCCAAAAGAGCCCTTATGGGTGGTGGGCAGCCCAGGACTTAAATACTGCTTTTTGGCCCTACACCTAGCCGATGTGGGACTATTTGTCTGTGACAACGTGCTATAGAATTTGGACATAATAACAATCCTAACAAACAGGAAGAGTACCTCATTAAATTGCTTGAATTTAGAAAACATGTCTTTAAAAGCAATTAAATTCGCTAGATTCATTAATTATCTAGTTAAATGTGATAAGAAACCAATATTAGCATTAAAATTCGCAAAACCCCTCCATCAAATTCATCTGAAACAGAGTGAGTTTGATTTCACACATAAAATGAGTAGGACCAATACCGCCATTTTCGAAAACAGGCTTCTTATTTACGATCAACTAAATAAGCGCTAAGGCACCTTCCGACTTAGAAAAAAAATTAAGGAATCATAAACCACGCCAGAAGTACAAACGGCTCTCACATATCAAAACAAACATTTACCTAAGAAAACTCCCTTATCATCCAATAACCAACAATCCCATCCCACAGAACGCAGACTAAATGCTTCGAAGGAGCTAAGCGAAAGACAGAAAAAGAGGAAGATAAAATAGGCATACAGCAGTATAGCATCGAGAAACTTCTTATGCTCTTCCTCCGTCCAACTCTCCCTTGACTTTGTAATTGTATATGGCTTCCGGATCTTCTTGGCAGCACCATCGGATGTGGTGGCCTCCTCCAAACTGGCGATCGTCGTGGTGACAATCATCTCGGGGACAGTCAATGCCATTAGAGTCCCCTCCTCGCTCTGCTGCGGAAAATAATAGTTATGGTACCTGTAAAAACCATCTGCTCCTCCTGCTCCACCGCATCCACCACCACCTCCAACGGAGATCACCGGCGTGCTGTACATCGTATCGATTCTACGCCGTGTGGCGGGGTTTCGCGGCGAGACCCTATTCCCGTCCTGCACGTTAACAACCGGCGGATTCCCTTCGGCTCAAAATCTATTTATAGGCTGCTCTAAAATTCGTTAAAAAGTCACCCAGAATGGAAGTGGGCTCCACTTTCATTTAAATTCGGTGAATAAGTTAAAATTTCCTCCCCATAGTTATTTGTATTTTGTTTTTTATCTTATCTATATACATTTTTGTTTAAGGGAATTTTACACATCTAACATTTAGTATTTCATTTTTAAACTTATAAAGCCTTGGTGTCATAATCCTCATAAATGAATAGGTCGCATTTCACTTTTAATTTTTTTTTTATATAATATTTAAAATGACTGTCATACCTATAAATATGAAAAAAATGAATAGGTCGCATTTCACTTTTAATTTTTTTTTATATAATATTTAAAATTAAAAAAAAATTGACTGTCATATCTATAAATATGAAAATTTAAGTGATATATATGTAAATGCCTCAGGTTGGCTCAAAATCTCTATAATTTGACTTTATGTTCTGTGGTCTTATAAGTTTATATGAGGCTCATTCGGTTGCTTAAAAATAGAAATCATATTGTGAAATAATTAAATGCTGTTAAATTCGTTATTTATTTAGATTTATTCAAGCATTAAAGTAATGGGAGGAAAAGTTGAACTTGGAGCTAGAGTTAGAGCTTGACAGCTAGAAGAAAGATTTGTAGTCCATTGTGGTTCTTGATTGAACACATGAAGAGTGTTTCTTGCTCTAGCAATCCCCAACCACCATCGACCACAGCTCATTAGACGTTGTCGACACTGTCGGCCGCCCTCTAGTAGTTGCAATGAAGCCTCTTGCAAGTCATAATGTACGATGTGGAGTAATGAGGCACGTTATGGAGCAGTGCATCGTCCCTAATATGGTGTAACGATGCATCCCAAAAATGGTGTAATAATGCACCCCAAGATTGTGTAGCAAGACGCTTTCAATAGGGTGCAACAACACACTTTGAATACGGTGCAACGACGCACTGCAAAGATGATGTAACAACTCACACCAAAGATGGTGTAACAATGCACCTCAAATACGACGCAATTATGAGCCCCACATATAATGTAATGACGCACCTCGAAGACGGTGTAACAACACACTCGCAATAATTTTTTGCAATTTTTGTGCTCAGAAAATAGTAAATTTCTCCATACTTTTGAAGTTCCTTCCTCGCATCTAGTCATCACGCCCTACGTGATCAATTATGACTGCTGTGCTCAACATATCATGCAATTCCCAACTTCGATTTTTGCGACCTGCAAACATTATCACAGCTCACAAATACTACCTACATGGTTCATAACTCATGCAACTCTCAACTCTAAGATTTTGTGGTCTACGAATGTTATTACAACTCTTTGTTATGACCTAAATGACCAAGTATGACATATATGACTCACAACTCATGCAACTCCCAACTCTGACATTTATGTCCTACAAACACAATCACAGCTCCCAACATGTATGTCTTACAAACACAATCACAGCTCCCAACTACAACTGTTGTGGCCAACTGACGCTTCTAAGGCTACTGCCCACGCCCTCAATGGCCAGCTACCATCACAACTTTCAATTGTAGCCTCTATGATAAGCTAGCACCAACTACAACTGTTGTGGCCAACTGACGCTTCTAAAGCTACTGCCTATGCCCTACATGGCCAGCTACCATCACGACTTTCAATTGTAGCCTCTATGATAAGCTAGCAATACAACTGTCATCTACAATATTCACGGCTGACTACTGCCTTCATACTGATTGCTTACGACATTCACGATACTATTATTATTATTGAATTGTCGTTGTGCATCAACACCGTAATTCCATATTCTCTGATTTAAGATGAGAGTGCATCTATATACTTACAATTCCTTAATAGACTGTTTCGGTTGTGCTAGGTCTCGTGAATTTTTCCCTTTGTAGAGTTGTCCACATAAAACATCATTGTGTCTCCTCACACTCATTTTCTTTTATTTGTGTGTGTAGGATATCACACTATGCCGATATGTTAAGTTATTACTCTACAGCGGTGGATTACGACATTTATCATTAATAATAAAATATTTTTTTTATTTATAATTGAATAAACACGTTTATGAAAATTTTAAGAAAATTAAAGAGAGAAAAATTTTATATTTAAATACTCGTTGCCCTTTTGACTTTTAATTCTGTCACCTTTCTTACAAAACAAATTCATATGTCATTTTCTGGTAGCAATCACTCTTATGGTGTACAAATGTTCAACATCTTGGTTAACACTGATTAAAGCTGTAATTAACACATTACTTAAATCTTATATCTTATCTAATATGTTATATTTATGCGGCATATACCTAAAGACCGCACATTTTCCAGCTATTTTTATGCTAATATCTAACTTTTAATATTTACATTCATAACCCTCAAATTTTTTTAATATCACATCAATAATACAATTTATTCACTTCTTAAAAGCCAAATTATTTCACGAAAATGTTATGAAAATAAATATCTAACTATATTAGATACGGAATTCATGAGAATTGTGGCAGATATGTAAATTTCCATTTATTTATGTTATCATATATAGTTATACTAACAAAGCTAAAAAAATACCACCATTTGGCAGCGGTAAGTTGCTTTTTAAGACATATATATTTAAATAATTGCTTATTCTACGGTGGAATGATTCTATTTTCCCTAATAATGAAATACATAATTAGAGTTTCCATTTTGTCTCTTTATATATTTTGAAGTTAACGTGCTGACGGACGACGAATTGAAAGCATGTGAGGCGGATAAGAATTTTGATTTGGTTGTAAATCTAATACGAATTAATCCACTTTATCCAAAATAATAAAATAAATGAATTTTTTTTTTAATCTCCATCAGCCGAAAAAATACAAATTTGTCAAAATCATTAGATATTTCCAACAAAAAAATGTACGAAAATCTTAATCTTTTTTTTTTAGTTTTCTATTATGATTATTCAATTTTTTATCTTCATCTCATAAAAAAAATATATGTTATAATTGATATTAATCAAAATTGTACGTTATAATTGATGTTCCCCTGTTTGGCTGCCGCTACCACTGGACCGTCGTTACTCGACCACCGTATTTGGTGCCACTGGATAGTTTTTGTCTAGCTGCCACGATTACCCACTATCATCATTGTCATCGAATCATCGTTATTTGGTTGCTGTCATCGTCGGATCACCGTTGCCTGAGCACAACTGCTACTATTGTCGGACCACTACCATCCGGTCACCTCCATCACCAGACCACATATGCCCAGTCATCACCATCGTCGCTGTCAAACCACTGTCATCTAGTCGCCGCCACCACCAGACCGCAACTGCACAACCACACTGTCAACGCAACTGAACTATCACCATCAGGTAGCCGCCATCGTCGGAAACACCTAAATGTTATAAAAATAATTTATGATCAAAGAAATCGACATAAACAATTTGACAGGTTGTTTTGAGATTTTTGACTCAATCTATCAAAATGACTCAATCTACCAAAATAATATTCTCAAAATTTAATACATATGCCCAATTTTCAACGTGAATGAGAAGAAAATTAAGAGGTAAGTTCATATTATTGAAATATATTTGAAGCTGATGATCATCAACAATCACCATCGAATATCATTGGTAGATGTTATAGTCCGACAACTGTTTCACATTTGTAGCATGATTCCTTTGTTATCTAATCCTTATAGCTCAGTCAACATTGTGTAACCCTGAAATATATAGTGTTATTGAATTAAAATTTTTTGAATTACGTCCAAAGAATCGAGTATAAGACAGACAGAAAGAGAGAGAGAGAGAATTGTGTAATAATGAGCAATAATGTGGGGTAATTGAGGTCTTCTCGGACTTCTCAAGCCTGTTTTATTCATAAATCATCCCCATGTATAGAAGAGCGGGTACAATATTTGAAGTTACATATTTACCCTTGCTTTTAATGAGAATGTTACATGTGTATTTCTAAAAAGAAAGACTATAGATTATCGAGGTTATGAGCCATCCAAGTTGAGGGTCATCCGGGTTGCAGGTCGTCTAAAATGTAGGCCGTCCAAGCTGCGGGTCGTTTATGCTACGGGTCACCTAGGTTGCAATTCATCCATGTTGTAGGTCATCTAGATTGTTGGTTGTCTAAGCTGCGGGTCGCCCAAGACATTGGCTATATAGGCTGCTAGTCGTTCAGACTTTGAGCATGTCCTCTAAGAGATTCGGTCATATTTTTGCTATACATATTTTAGTTTCTCAATTTTTCTCTCTTTAAAAGATAACTGTGAAAAGATTAAGAGAATTATAAAAATGAAACCAACATTGTTCATCTCTCCAAATACAAATCAAAATTTTGTTAAGTATGAGTGATGATTTTGGAAGATGTTCTAAAGCTAAGTAACTAAATGGAGCTGAAAAAGTTGATGGATTGAGTTTGTGATGCCATCACCAACCCAAGTATTACTCCACCTGATACGCCACCAACAAATTTTCATCATACAGGTTATTTGTTGTCGATGGTTTGGATCGTCCAGGTTCGTCCCATGTTGTGGGTTGTTTAGGCTATTGTAATCTGGGTTGTCGTCGATCATACTGCAAGTCATGTAGGCTCTGGGTTGTCAAAGTTGTCGGTCATCCAAGCTGTTGGTTGTCCATGTTGTCGGTCATCCATGCCTCAGGTCATCTGTTCTGTTGATCGTTTGGTCTGCAAGTCGTTCAGGCTATGGGTCTTCCAGGTTGTTGGTCTATGTTGCAGGTCATCCTGGTTCTTGGTTGTCCACGTCGCAGGTTATCCAAGCTTACGGTTGTTCTAGTTTTCCAGGCTGAGATTTTTTGTTCTGTGAGATTCAACCCTACATAAATTTATTATACAAGCGTATTGGTTTTCTTAGTTGATTGTTCTTGGTTGTCCACGTCGCAGGTTATCCAAGCTTGCGATTGTTCTAGTCTTCCAGGCTGAGATTTTTTGTTCCGTGAGATTCAACCCTACATAATTTTATTATACAAGTGTATTGGT